GATATAATAATAATAATGATAATGATAATCAGAGACAAAATTCCACCAAAGTTTTTTTAAAGAGTACACAACTAACTTTGAGAAGTTCTCTTTCCTCTGGGTGTGATGGTGTTGACTTCTGTTCTGTTGAACATGAATGTTTGGAAATTAAACTCACAGCATGTTGCAAGTCAGTGAAGGAACCTAATTATGCCACTACATGTGATGTAACACCAGGACTTTGAGAGTGAAAGTGGGGGAGAAAAATGAATGGTCAGTTTACACGGTGCTTTATTGGCTCTGTTGGCTGCAGACATCAGATCAGTAGAACGGCGTGGCAGCGCTCCCTCCTGTATTGATTTAATAATACACTGATGTTTTGTTATTATTAAAGTCATAAGTCACATCAACATAATGTGAGAAAGAGAAGCCGTCGATGCACTTGACCACGACGTTAACAGAAAACAAGAACGGAACATAAATAAACAAAATAAAATAATAATATTTTCAGCCTCTGCTAATCTTTGTCCTCAGAGACATGAGTGCAATTATTTAATGAATGAAACTGATTTGATGTAAGTGTGGGATTTGTTAAAGAAAATTAATTCACATTTACAGTCTGTGTGTGTGTGTGTGTGTGTGTGTCATTACTTATACTACACACACACACACACACACGGAAACACATGTGTGTGTGCTCGCATAAAATTATTTATTCACACCTGTCCTTTCTTATCATAACACCACCACCAGCACCACCTCCTCCACCAGCCGTATGATGACGATGGTGTGTGTGTGTGTGTGTGTTTGGGGTTATAAAAACAGTTAGACTTAATAATTGATGTTCTGCATTTCAATCAATTTCTCCACAGTGTTAGGCTAATTAAGGTTAGCTCCATCCTCTCAAGGGTGGGGTGTGTGTGTGTGTGTGTGTGTGTGTGTGAGAGAGAGAGAGAGTAAGTGAAAGACTGTGTGTTCTCCTGCTCCTCAGGGCTCCACGCTCCATTTTAAATCTCTGAATATATGGGAATTCTCTATTTCAGGAACAGGAGATGAGAGATAGTCTCTCTCTCTCTGTCTCTTTGTTGTCCTCTCTCTCTCTCCCCCTCCCTCGTTCTCTCTCTCTCTCCCACTCTCTCTCTCTCTCTCTCTCTCCCCAGGCAGGATCCTAAATGCAATTAACATAGCCGCTTTAGTGCCTGCTAATTATTAACACATACACACATTCAGAGGGCCACTGTTCACACACACACACACACACACACACACACACACACACGTTGGGATGATTATTTTATGCTGGACTAATTTAAAGTTCATTGACAATCGTTTTAATTAATTAAATAAGAAAAGTACACACTTAAAAAACGTCAGGCTGGTACTGCAGGCTTCAGAGTACGGAGGTAACAATTATCCTGGGCGTGTGTGTGTGTGTGTGTGTGTGTGTGAGTGTGAGACGCCTTACCTACAGCATGGTTTTGGCGTGTCTGTGCCACACAGCCACATGAGAGAGAGCGAGATAATGAGTCTTTAAACTCTGTGTGCCAGTATTTAACATGAACAGGAATAACTAAAGAGTCCAATTAAGAAGCTGAGTCTTTTTTATGGGCAGCAGATTTGTTTCTGTTATTAAATAGTCATGGGCGGCTCCAAGCCTCCCAGAGAAGATGACTCCTCAGCCAACGTACATCACTTTAATGTGTCTGTGTATCTGTGATGAAGGCTGTTAACGTACCTCGTACAAATATTTACATTCACCAACCTGTAAAGAACTCAGCCCTGCTGTGTCCGTACGTAGCTGAATATTCACCAAAGGATTTTCGTCACTGGACACTCACTGGACACGTAGCTGAATATTCACCAAAGGATTTTCAAATGATTTATAATTATAATATTTTAAGAGAGAAAAAGAAAACAACAGTGTATGAGGTGTTGTATAGAAAGTTCTGGAAGAACCAGCCACAACTGCTGGTGCCTTTGTAGAATCAGAATAAATAAAAAAACTATATCCAGAAATGTTTTTTGTCTTGTTGTTCAACAGTCGGTCTGATTGTTTTGTTGTTGTTGTTGTTGTTTTTAGCACTGCTGGATTGAACTGGTTGTGGACAAGACTGCAGGTCACAGACTCAGAGACTCAGAACAAAGAGCCGTGTACGGAGGTAAGAACCAGAGCTGTGTGTGTTCTGTGGTGAACTGATCTGGTGTCGCTCCTGTTTGAAGAGTGAACAGAACCAGACACCAGGTGTGTTTGTTTGATAGTGTCCAAGGAATAAGAGGAAAAACAAAGACTGCAGCGTTAGAGAAGGACAAAAGACGGTGAAGACTCCAGTCTGGTCCTCACGTGTAGACTCAGCTGTTGGAGTGGATTTCTGGTAGTCTACAGACCACACTGCTGGCTGTCTATTGTCTGATGGTCCACTATCATGGATTATACGACGCTCACTTGTTACAGCACTTCATTTCAGTTGTCACATTTATTAGATTAAAATTTGACTCACACACACACACACACACTGTGTATTGAACAATCCCATTGACCATTCTCTTATTGTTGTTCCAGTACATCATCTACACACGTCATTTAGCCACATGGATTCAACTTCAGGTCCGACGCCCCCTTGTGTCAAGATGAACAGTAATAACACTGAACCTATGAAGCCAAACTTTGTTAGTTATAATTGTGTATATTTTTCTGTAGTAATATTTCCAGTATTTGGATCAGTCTCAGATAAAAACAGAATCACACACACACCTACCTGCTGTTATATGTCTTTGGTTCCAGCTATATACAGAAAAATGATTTACATCAATTAATTGTGATTAATCTGATTTTTTTCTTTGTATTTGACAGCCATAATATAATTTCTGACAAATGGATAAATAATGAATAATGTCCTAAATCAGAAACTATCCGTCATCTGAAGTGATGACGTAGAATTGTCTGAAAAAATATATTTTTAAATGAAGAATAATTGTTATTGTTATTTACATTAGGCTTCAATTAAAAAACACTCTGTACGTTACACCATATCATTGACTTATTGATCTAATGACTTCATTGGTTTAGTCTAGAATGAGCAGGTGGTTCAAAGGTAGAACAGTGGATGGCAGCAGCCCCCACTGCACACCACGGAAGTTTGGCTCTCTCTCTCTCTCTCTCTTTGTCTCTCTCTCTCTCTGTGTCTGCTGCTCGCTCCATATGTTTTTATTGTTTCTCATCTATTTTCTACTTTCACTGTTTTCTAGAAAAACAACTATTTTTTCCCATTCATTTACATTTTTTCCTGACACCCAGTGGTGCTTCAGTAAAGCAGCAGAAACACACTGTGTCCAGGGACCGGGATCAGACCACAGCCCCCGGGGCAAACAGGCACATTGTTGGGTCATTGTGTGTGTGTCTGTGTGTGTGTGTGTGTGTGTGTGTGTCGCAGTCTTTCTCCCGGAGCTTGACCACCTTTTATGTGCACCAGCGTGTGTGTATGAAATGAATGCATGAATATGAGAAAGTGTCACATATGGGAGAGTACTTGTGCACACTTCTGTGTGTGTGTGTGTGTGTGTGTGTGTGTGAATGAATGGAGGCCCCTGGTCAGGCCATACGTTATTGATGCTCCTGCCTCGGGGTACGTCGGGGGAAATGGATGTGTGTGTGTGCGGGAGCAGCCTGGTGTATGTTTGTGTGTGTGTAGAGGGGGTCACGTTGTGTCGTCAAACGGCGGCTGGTGAAAGATGGCCACTGCTGATATGATCAGTCATCTGTTGATCAAGATGTACTGCTGCCGCCTCATCACGGCTTCTCTGACAATTCCACTGTTAACTCTCTCTCTCTCTCTCTCTCTCTCTCTCTCTCCCATTTCCACATCGTCTCCCTCTCTTTCTTCTCACTTCTTTGTCTTTTTCGTGCCTTTGGATTTCATATTTTCTTTCATAGATTTCAATTAACAACATTAACTTAGAGTAGGTGAACAGCAGTGGTAACTGTAGTGTGTGCTGTAGTTTTCTGTCCTGCTCCTGTCCATCAGTCCAGTCTGGATCCGACGTGTCTCTCTGGTCCGACCGTACTGATATCCGTCCACATCTGCAGATTTTTAACTTTTTTCTTTTAACATCGCTCAATATTTCCCTCCTCTGACATCGCTCTCTTGTGGAGCCTCTGCTCAGTTCTCTGGTTTTTTCCTCCCTTCATTAAAGTGTCATGTTACATACGCAGACACACACACACACACACACGCACACACAGACGGATCCAGGAAACAAGAGCACACAATCACACTTACCTAGAAACTGGGATGGATGTTGAAATGCACATGAGACTGTGACTGTGTGGTGAGGAGCTAATGTGTAGAAACAGTGGTTAACAGTGAAACAGCGTCTAAAGTGCTCTGCTCTGTGGTCAACACTTAATGGGCTTCAGAGAGTTTGGTTTTTTAACCTGAAGGTGCTGTTGTGTTCTGTGGTTACAGGATAATGGGTTCTTACTGTGTGGTTAGGAGAGTGTGTGTGTGTGTGTGTGTGTGTATTAAATATATCTGTTTGCTGTGCATGTGGAAACCTATAGTGTTGTTCCTTTAAGAAGTAGAAAAAACACACACTCTCTCTCTCTCCTGCAGTGACTTTAATTAATGTAGTACTTTATTGTCCTGTGAAGTGACTTTGGAACAGAGGGTTAGGGTGATAAAGTTGATCAAACAGATCAACAACTGATGACGGAGGAGATTGATACGGTGATGATGTGGATGTTTCCTCACAGCCTTAAACAAGTTTCTAGTTTTGTAAATGTAGAGTTTTTACTTTTCCTCCAGTGACCTTTGACCCCCTGAATGACCGGGGTCAATAATAACAGAGTCATGAGGGAGTACAGGTGGTGAAGAGTCGATCCAGTAGTTTATCATAAGTTTAATTTGATGTTAACATTTCTAACAGCTGTGGATGTCAGTGTTAACTGTTAATCTGTTAGTTAAACATCATTAAACTGTGACATTGTGTATCTGTGTGTGTGTGTGTGTGTGTGTGTGTGTGTTGTCAGCCATCTACACCTGTGTCTTCTTTAAATCACTCACCAAAGTGTGGCTGTTGTTTTCTGTGGGAAACAGATAATGTCTTTACAATCTGTGGTTAGAGTCCAGACCAGCACAGTTCAGTGTGCACTGACCCCTGCTGATGAATAATGGAACAGCACTGACCACAGCACTGACCACACTGATGTATGAGTGGAGCAAATGACTGTGTTAATGCTCCTCCGTGCAGGGAGGGAGAGAGGCACTAAGAGGCCTGGAAAGTGCTTTAAGTGAGTGTGCGGAACTGTGTGTGTGTGTCTACAGTGTGTGTGTCTACAGTGTGTGTGTACAGTGTGTGTGTGTGCATTGAGAATAGATGAGTTTTTGAATGAGGGCAAAATGTCTTGAAAGATCATAGATCTCTGATCCTTTCTAGTCTTAAGAAACTCTGCCGTCACTTCCAGCATTAGTCACATTTATCCAGTCTGATACCGGTTCAAACCGGCTCTGTCTCTGACACTGACTGTTGGTGAGTTTGAGTCTTTGGCCTTTGTGATATCCTCCTGGTGTCCAGGAGGTTACAGGTTCAAATCCAGCAGTCAGCAGGCACACCCAGACACACTGCCCCCTGCTGCCTAAGGTGAGGAGTTAAAGGCAGAGGCCAGAGGCCCCGGTGACAAGGATCTGACAGTATGTCAAATCATTACTTGTTTCCTGGTTGGGGTCTTGATCCCCACATGTTCCTGGACAAGAACCTTAACCCACAGAGGTTTATCATCGTGTACTTGATGAGATTCACGTTGTTCCTCTTCCTTTACACCTGACAGTAATACAGACAACAATGAACCAACACTGAACAGTCACAACAGTAAAACCAGATCAAGCTAAGGTGGAGGGTTGGGGTCACAAAGGTCACCTGATTATAGATAAATACCAGGTTTTGTAATTACCCCCCGCCCCGTTCATATTGTGCGTAACATTATAGATCAGGGGGCACCAACGTGGGGCACCTGTTAGCCCCCATGGCAGCAGTTGTTTTATAATCCAGAGGTTTTTTAACGATAGCTGCTAAGAGAGACTAAGTACAGTGTTCTGTGTGTGTGTGTGTGTGTGTGTGTGTGTGTGTGTGTGTGTTTATAGTTCAGGCTGCATTAAGAGCCAGGAACCACATCAATGTTCCTCTGGTTTTACAGCTCCTTCAGTTAACAGCTCATCACAGCTGCTTTATGTATGAAATTCTTGTTTACATTTGTCCCTTTAACTGCTCCAACTATTATCACATGTCTTCAAAGCCTCGGACCTCAGACAGACAGACAGCTGTGGAGGTCCCAGGTGTCATGCCACCTGTCACCCACAGGGGCAGCTGCTGTGATGTAGCTGTGTGTGTGTGTGTGTGTAACAGTCTGTTTACTCTGACATATCTGTCCCCTAGACATGAAACATCATCTTCCTCCATTGACTTCATCACTCCTCTTCCTTTTCTCCTTCCTTGTTTCCTTGTTGTTCTTCCCTTCTCTCCCCCTCCTCCCCCTCTCTCCCTCCCTCCCTCCCTGACTTGGTAACACTAATCTGTCCTCCTTCCCTTCCTTTCATCAGATCTCCCGTGCCCCCTCAGTTCTTCCATGTCTGTCCGGAGTTGTAAACAACCGTCATATCAGTCCTTCTTAAATAGCCTTCACAGTTGCAGGAGTGTGTGCACGTGCACGCAAACGTGCACAGGAATATCTCATCAATGTTTCAGAGGGAGGCCTGAATATCAGTTAGCTATACCTCATAGTCCTCACTTATTTACATCCGGCTGCCCCTGTGCCACTGAAACCTCAACAGCAGCATCAATGATTCATCAGCCGTGTTTTAGCAAAATGCACGTCGGCTCTGTCGATACGGAGGAAGAGAGGAGGAGACAGAGGAGGAGGAGGAGGAGGAGGGAGAGGAAGGAAGGACGTGGAGTGTAAGGAAGCTTGTCTGAGCATGGTGATGGAGTGGAGTGTAAAAAACAAACAGAAAAACACAAAACTTTGAGTTGAGAGTTTTTAAGTTGACGACTCTGATAGGAAACACTGGGGTCAGAGGACTGTGAACAGGAGAGAGTTCAGTAAATGACATGTTAAATCAGGAGAGGTGGCAGTGAGGACCAGACCGAAGGGTCGTGAAGAAAAAGTCCATTAGAAATATTAGAAAAATGGGACAGAAAAACGAGGATATTCAGACAGGGATGAAGCAGGAAGGAAAATTGAAAAAAAAAAACACACTTGATAATAATGATACTGATAAAAGACAAGAAGAAGAAGAAGCAGCAGTGATCTCACTGTCTTCCCCTGCCTTCCCTTCTCTTCACCATCCAACACTTGATCCCTCTTTTACGGATGAAACATGTTTTTTCCTTGTCTTATTTTGGCCAGGAATCGATGACATTCTGCAGACACACACAGACACAGGAGTCCGATATGTCTTTTACTCTTTAGATTTCAGTCGAACATGAGCCCACCGTCCTCCCAGGACTTCCTAAGGACTTCAATGACATTTACACATTGATTTCAAAAGATGTACCTGCGTTTTTAGATTGCGGTACGTGTGGTTCTGTGGTGTCGAGTTCCATCCTGTACATCAGCAGACGGAGAGGTCTTAAAGCAGAGGGGTCAGGGACGAGGACCCGGTCTTTGTAGATGGATGTGTGTTACTGAGGACAGGCATCAGTGGTCGGGCTGTGAGTAGAATAAAGTTGATCAAATATTTATTATAAATGACGTGAAATGAAACAGGAAAGACTGAGTGGACAAAGCAGTGAGACACAGGGACAGAGAGACACAGGGGCAGAGAGACACAGGGACAGTGAGGCCCAAGGACAGTGAGACACAGGGACAGTGACAGGGACAGTGAGACACAGGGACAGAGAGACACAGGGACAGAGAGGAGGTTTGGACCTTGACTTTGACAGAGAGTTGTTTCAGAGAAACAAGGACGAGACACCACCGCTGTATGTTCCTGCCTCTCTCTCTCTCTCTCTCTTTGCTGTATGTTCCTGCCTCTCTCCCTCACTCTGTTCCTCTCTCTCTCTCTCTCTCTCTTTTTCTCTCTCTCTCTCTCTTTTTTCTTTTTTTTTGTGCCCGGGGTGAATTTTAAGAGAAAGAAAAAGCTATTACTGTGGCTGCTCTCTCATTATGTAAATGATATTAAACAGGCCCTTTCTGTGTGTGTGTGTAGGTGTGTGTGTGTGTGTATGCGCAGACGTGTGGCATCAGCAGCAGACATTCACATACGTGTGCATGTTAGTTTCATGGTCACATTTGTTTTACCTGTGTGTGTGTGTGTGTGTGTTTGTCTTGGAGTGTGTGCTGCTAATCTCCACACAGTGATTACAAGGTGTCAAACTCCCCCACATTGATTATGACATGTTAATTACACACCATGTTTCCACCTGCTCTGATGTCACAACACACACATTTAAATAGGGACACTGAGTGTGTGTGTGTGTGTGTGTGTGTGTGTGTGTACAATTAGATGATGTCAGGTTGGACACAGAAGGGTTTGTCCCCACAGGGATGAATATGTGATGTGTCAGTGCAGTGTGTGTGTGTGTGTGTGTGTGTGTTCTGATGGAGCTGCAGATAAAACAGTGATGTCAGTCTGTGGACGAGTGTTGACTGAAAACTGTGTGTAGAATAAGAAGGTAAACAGTGACAGCAGCTTTCTGATCTGTCTGTCTGACTGTCTGACTGTCTGACTGTCTGTCTGACTGACTGACTGACTGACTGTCTGTCTGTCTGACCGTCT